GCCCTGACCGGGAATCGAACCCTGACCTCCTGTGCAGGCACACACACCCGGCCAACTGAGCCCCGCGGGCCGGGCAGACTTGATTATTTTTAAAACCTTGACAACTGTGGATTTCATTCTTAGAAGAAAGAAAAGTTACCTATGAAAGAAACGTTTCAAAATGCCATCGCGGTCAGGACCACCTACGTAAGCAGGAGAGACAGTTACTAGCGTCTGAGACTAGACCGTCCCGGCCATGAGGGGCCCCCTTTCCAGGGATAGACGCCCCCCTGTGTCCCGCCAGTGCATCCTTACCTGCCGTGGACCGGATGGTGGAGGTGACATGGGAGGGCGTCAGCGCGGGGAGACATTCGTCGTCCTGGGAGTAGCCGGCTTGGATGGCACGCAGGTAGCTGTGGCTGCGCGTCCGGAAGCAGCCGGGCAGGTCCAGGGCGTCCATGGCCTGCGACTCCACCTCGCCGAAGACGGACTCGCACACCGACTCGAACTGCCCGTTGACCTCCGCCTCGCTCATCTGCAACGGGCAAGGGCGCGGTCGGTGGCGAGACCTGCCACGCACACCCGGGCCTGCGGGCCCGAAACCCACCGGCTTCCGGGGAGTCTCCCACGCCCGGCACGGGGAGTGTGACATCAGCACCCGACATCAGCTCGGGAAAGAGCTCACTGGGTTATTGCTGTTGTTGTTAATCCTCCCTCGAGGGTACTTTCCATGGATTTTTAGAGAGAGTGGGAGGGAGGGGGAGACACAGAGACAATGATGTGAGAGACATGCTGATGGGTTGCCTCCCACACAAGGCCCGACCTGGGCTGGGGACTGAGCCTGCAACCGGGCATGTGCCCTTGACCAGAATCAAAGCCGGCGTCCTTCAGTCCACAGACCGACGTTCACTGAGCCAAACCCGCTAGGGTGAGCTATTTCCTACTAAACTCAAAGGCGAGCGGCCAGTTCCGAGCCGGCCGGGGTGTCCTGCGGACCCCAAGCCGATGCTTCAAGGGTGGCCGGCAGGTGTGACTGCGTTCGAGAGGTTGAGTTGAAAAGCTAGCACAGTACCTGCTGCAAAGGCCCCGTTCAAACTACAGGCTACTTCCTCTGCCTCTCCTCGTCGCCATGGAGACCAAGCCCGTTTGTCAATAAGCTCGTCCTGTCCCCAGGCAGCAACAGGAGCCGATGGCTGGGGGGGTCTCTGTCTGCCCCCCACCAGGGCCATCACCTCATTCTGTCTTTCCCCCCCTTTTCTTCCTCAGCCTGTGACATGAGAGCCCTCACTTCATTTGCAGTTTAGCAGGTGATGATTTCCAAGCCTGCGATTTACCTGCCAGGTGTGGAGTCACCTGGGACTCTGAAAGTTCCAACTGCGTTTTATTATTTTAAAATATATTTTTATTGATTCCAGAGAGGAAGGGAGAGGGAGAGAGAAATAGGAACATCCCTGATGAGAGAGAATCATGGATCGGCTGCCTCCTGCACGCCCCCCACTGGGGTTCGAGCCCGCAGCCCGGGCATGTGGCCTGATAGGGAATCAAACTAGTGGCCTCCTGGTTCATAGGTTGATGCTCAACCACTGAGGCAGCCCGCTGAGCCCACCTGCATTTTAAGAAATGATCGGGGCTGGGATAGTGGGGGATCCTGGGGCAGAGACAGGCTGGGCCATGGGCCTGGGGGAGGGTGGTGACCCTGGCCGGTGACACGGCCCCAGGTCTCTAGGGGGTAACACGCTCATGTTTCCCATGAGCCAAATCGGGAGGCTTTTCCTGGAAATCTCACAGAGTGAACGCGGGGCTGAGACCAGGCGGACGGGGCCGGGGTGGGAGGAAGGGCAGGGACTTAGGAGGGAAGCGTGGGAACCTCCGCCAGCCCAGCGAGCCCGCGCTCTCCTTTGCGAGGAGGTTACACCTGCCTGTGCGTCCGACAAAGAGCGCAGTTTAGGAGAGGAACGTCCGGCTGATGTGCCAGCCGCAGCTCCTCAGCGGGGTCCAGCATGAACGTGACTCTTCCCAGACAAATGGGAGGTGGTGGAGAAGGGACTCGAATTGGTCGAGAAAGGACAGAAATGACCTGCCTGCCGTGAGCCGACTGTCTCGTGGAAAGGGCTCCCGGGGGCGTCCCCGAGGGCGTCAGCGGGGAAAGGTCTGTGTGGTTCGCAGCGTCCCACACCTCCTCTGTGACCCACCCACTCGGGAACGCAACGCAAAGTGCTCTAGGGAAGGAGCCACGGCCCAGAGCATTGGGGAGATGGGAGGGCGGCAGGTGAGGCAGGGGCGGGCCAACGGTGGGCTCCCCGGAGGTCACCACACATGACCTTTTTAGAGAGGCGTGTGTGGGGGGGATGTGGCACCATCAGGCTGCCCTGGCCCGTTTCACTGGGGAAAGGAAGGAAGATAGTGTGAGCTAACTCGGCAGCAAGGGGCTGAGATGGCCGCTGGGCCGTCCTTCCTTACCCGGAAGAGATCAATGTAAGCATCACAGTCATAAATGTCGGGACAACTGCACCTCAGGAAGGCCCCAGGCCGGTCACCTGTGGCAGGCAACTGCCCGTCTTCTCCTGGCCTCCCCCAGACATGGGGGGAGGGGGAGCTGTCACCCTGGCAGGAAGGTTCCCCGGGACAACACAGCTTTAGAGACGGGGCCTAGGGGCCGAGGTGCAAGGGGTCCCCACCTGGCTCACACAGCTGGCCTGGCTCAGCATGCTGACCGCCCTCATGTAGCTCTGGTTCCTGGAGCGAAACTTCGGGGAGTTGTAGTTGGCAGAGGTGTCCAGGCCGTGGCCGGCGGGCCCGTCGCTGGCGGCTTGCAGGTAGCTCTGGCTGCAAGGGAAGGAGCGAGAGAAAAGGGGCTGCGTGAACAGCACGGGAGGGGCAGGGGGCACGATGGAACCAAGCTCAACCCGAACCTCCACGTGGACGGAGGCCTCTGCCTCATGCAGACACTCGCCAGGTCCGCATCGACAAATATGAATGGCGCCCAGCGTGAGAGGGAGGCTATTTGCAAAATTGCTTCGCATCCTGACATTTTATGGCCGGGCAGGAAATGAGCATTCTTAAGAAAGTGCTGAATGAAAATGAACTGAGCTGAAACCAAACGCCCTGAAAATCTCATAAAAACCGCGCCGGCTCTGGGCGACGTTGCCGACCCCGGAACACAAAGGACAAATAGAAGGCTCGCCTTCGTTCTCAACTTATGCGAAGGTGCCCAGCCTCTGCGACCCGGGCAGAGAGGAGCAGACTGAGAAATTAAAGCCACTTCACCATCACATGGCCCGTCTCGCCCAGACCCCCCGAAAAACCGGTTCTCCCCGTCTCCCTTCCTCTAGTTGGTAAAACGTTGAAAGTGTGTGGGAAGGGGAGGGCGCCGGCAGTGCGAGCGTCGGCTGAGCTTAACTCTCCGGCTGGCGGGCCCCCTTCCAGTTCTGCTGACAGTCCTCCCGCAGCGGAAAGGCCGGGTCAGGTCCCAGTGCAGCCGGCGCAGGGACACGGGGACCAACATCAGGGGCCGATTCTGGCTCCGCATCGGCCAGCAGGCATGTGCCTTGCTGTGCAGAGTAAACTCTTGTGGTTAATCCTCACCCGAGGATGTATTTCCACTGACTTTTGAGGAGAGTGGAAGGGAGGTAGGGTGGGGGGGAGGCGGAGAGACAGCGAGAGCCATGGATGTGAAAGAGACTATTGGCTGCCTCCTGCTCACACCCAACCAGGGCTGGGGATCGAGCCTGCCACCAAGGTACATGCCCTTGACCGGAATTGAACCTGCAACCTCTCAGACCGAGGGCTGATACTCTAACCACTGAGCACACCGGGCTGAGGGCAGGAAGACGCCCACACACGGCCACTGGCTGTCCCCACACGGAAGTGGCCAGAGTCCGTGGAAGCAGCAAAATGCCCATCGGTCCCCAGGACTTGGCCACGTGTGGGGGCTCCTGTGGACCGTGTGGACTGTGTGGATCGCAGCTGGCCTCGCGCGTGTGTGTGCGTGTGCGTGCGTGCGTGCGTGTGCGTGTGTGTGTGTGTGTGTGTGTGTGTGCGTGTGTGTGTGTGTGTGTGTGTTCGGTGCAGGGGCTCAGGTGGCTGCGCTGACTCGTAGGCTCTTGGCTCACCTTTGCTTTTGGAAAACACAAACTTTTCTGCATCCCGCGTCGCCTCCTGTGTGTCCTTGAAATCGCTGCTCCCAGACCTTGCGTTTCTATGGGTTAGTCCCGAACCCTTATTTTTTCCACCGAAATAGCGCTCACGCCTGGTTAACGGAGCCGCCCATCATGTTAACGGTCTCAGGTGACAGGGGCTTCCCCGCCCGAGAGGCCCAGGCGCGCCTTCGCTGTGGGGCCGTGGTGAGCAGCCCGTGCCGGCGCCGTGGCTGGGGTGGCACTCACATGCGATTTGCTAGGATTGGGGTCCTGTGTTTAGGATCCCCTCTCACTCCCAAGGATTCCCTTTATCCCAAAACGGGGCAATGCCACCTACGGAAAAGCAGCCGCCACAGAGAGCGAGTCAGAGTTTCTCTTAAACACAGACGGCAGCTGCGTCTGGCACATGCCGTGCCCTGGCCGCCTGGTGGGAATTTCACAGGGTCCTGACCGTCTGCCTCCACAGGAACCCCATCAGGGAGGTCCCGACATATTTTATTTTAAAATATATTTTATTGATTTCAGAGAGGGAGAGAGATAGAAACATCCATGATGAGAATCACTGGTCGGCTGCCTCATTGCAAGCCCCACACTGGGGATGGAGTCCACAACGGGGGCATGTGCCCTGGCCGGGAACCGAACCGTGACCTCCTGGTTCATAGGTTGATGCTCAACCACGGAGCCACACCGGCCGGGCAGGGTAGGGCCATTCATACCATCATGGTGCCAATGGGGACACGGAGGCACGGCCGCCGTGAGCCGCCCGCCCTGGCGCACCCAGAGCCACGGCAAAGCTGGACGTGGTGTCGGCTCCAACTTCACGCCTTCGACCCCCAGATCGCAGGTGCCAAGTGCTGGTGGCAGAGAGCCCAGCGGCCTGGCCCCCTAGCCCCAGGCTTGCTGCATTTAACAGGTTATTTTAACACAGCGATTTGGGGCTTTATCACATAGCGAACAAGAAGGCCGGGCACCCTGAAACAATCGCAGACCTGGAGGCTGGATGCCAGAGACAGGGCCTGGTCAGGGCCGCCCTCCGCGCAGCACTGGCGGGACCCCGGCCTCCCTCCAGGGCCTCCCCTCGCTGCTCCCTGGATCTCCGCCTGTAGGAGCCCCACTTCACTGTGAAATTC